ATATATATATATATATATATATACACACACACACACACATATATATATAGAGAGATAGATGGATGGATGAAATTTTCTTTGTGTTGCCCCTTTAGGTGTGTACTTGCCTCTTTTGTGGGAGCAGAGTTTCTGCTGGAAGAGCCCAATCGCTCTGGGTTACACTCGAGGCCACTTCTCAGCTCTGGTGGCTATGGAGAACGATGGCTTCGACAATCGCGGCGCGGGCGCCAACCTCAACACAGACGATGACGAGACGGTCACATTCCTGCCACTGGTTGACAGTGAGAGGAAGCTGCTTCACATTCACTTCCTCTCTGCACAGGAAGTAAGAAACGACTGTAGTTTTCTTATGTAATTTTGGAACATAATCCTTTAAGAGGTGTGAAGGTTGAGTTGGACTACAGTGTTGGGTACTTGATGTTTTTCTCCTCTCCTTTAGATGGGTAATGAAGAGCAACAGGAGAAGCTCCTGCGGGAGTGGCTGGACTGCTGTGTGACAGAGGGCGGAGTTCTAGTGGCCCTTCAGAAAAGCTCCCGTCGCCGCAACCACCCGCTCGTCACCCAGATGGTGGAGAAGTGGCTCGACGGCTACCGGCAGATCCGCCCCTGCGCCTCTTTGTCTGATGGCGAAGAGGATGAAGACGATGACGACGAGTGACTGAACTTAGTTTTCCTCTGGTTGTTTTTTCCCCCTTCCTTTCTTGACACGGACAAACTGTGAAAGCCTTCAGTAGAAGTCAGGGAACCACAAGCTCCTGGCGCTCGCCTCCAAAGCTACAGAAGACACGGCTGCTCTTCTGGTCCGTTCAGGCACTCGGACATATTTCACAAAAAACTTTCAACACTTTCCTCAGACCAATGTGAGACTGACAGAGAACACTGAGTGACAATAAAGGTTTACAAATGCAAATAACCCTTTGATTTAAGTTTCAAATCTAAAAGAATAAAGTAATTTTTATCCGTAGATGTAAATGCATGTGGTTGTTAAAAAACGAAATATACCAGCATTTATTTCAATCAGTACCTTCTATTTGTTCAGTGTGGGCACTGACAAAAGCACACTTCCAAATTAAACAATGTTTTTCCAGTTGTATGAGAATGTTCAGCATTTTTGTGTTCGAACAGAGGGACAAAGCCAATAAATATTCAGAAAAACAGAGATTGTATAATAATAACAATATTAATATGTATATCCTTATAATTAAGCACTGCACATTTCTGAGAACATTAATTAAAAACGGTATCATTGCTTGAAATAATGATCATTTATGAAGCTTTTAAAAGGGAGCTGTGCCCTTCACAAGTTGGATCTACACTTACCAAGGTTTAGCACATGAACGTTCATGTTGGTTTACTTTTTGCAGACTGAACTGAGAAGTTGTGTGTGCGTGTGTTTTGTTAGAACTTATTCTACATATTTATTGTTTGAAGATTTCAACGTTAAGAGCTTTCTGTATATTTTTCTCGATTGTGTGTTGTTTTCTTTTTTTTTTTTTGTTAATTTTTCCCTCAATTTCAATGAAGACTCGTTGCACAGAAACACTGTTCCTGTGAGGAGAGAACCAATCATGGCGGTGGAACGTTTACTTGCGTTGTTGCATGAGATTTAGTACCTCAAACGAATGCCTAAATTCTGGTGCTTTATTTTGGTTTTTGTTTATTATATTTTTTCGGAGCAATTAAGCGAGACATTGGACGTTTGCATAAAACCCAGTCACATTTGTCTTCTAAACCCTGTTTGTCCCGTCGTTCCTGAAAGTATTTGCTGTCCAGCTCACCTTTGTGCTACATGTCAGATCAGCTTCTCTGTAAAACCTGCTGTCAACCCCTTGTTTTCAATAAACCGTTGTGTGACTGCAACATATTAAACCAAAGCTGAGAGGAACAAGGAAAAAAAGTGTCAACTCCTTTTTTTTTGCTGTGAATGTTTTGCGTTTTTTTCTCTCTTGCCATTGTGTACTGTAACCTTTGTGTTTCATTTGTGGCATACATGTTTTGAGCATCACCTGTATGTTGCTTTGTATTTATGCAATAGTTGCAGTTGTGACTATGATGGTTTGTGAATTTAGGCCTGACTTCACTAAACGGAGTGTAATGCAAAGAACAGGCAAAATATGAAATAAAAATAATAATAAAGGAAAATCTTTTTGAATGTCCAAACTTAACCATTTCCTGTCTGATTTTCTTCAGCTCACGAGTTTGTATTTATTTCACAACTTGGAATTATTATGTCAAGAAATGTATCCTAATCTTTCACAAATCACCGATTTTTTTTTGTCTGTTTTGTAAAGTTAAATGTTTCAAGAGCCTGATTTAGGTTTGTGCACCCCCATAGTTTAAATTACCAAAATGTAAACAAATCACAAACAAATATATTTTTAAACAGCTTTTAAGAACATTTAAGCGAGCATGATGTCTTTGGAAGTACTTTTCAAGCCCCATATTTTAAAAAGTAACATATAGCTAAAAAAAAAAAACGGTCTGCACAAATACAAGAAAAATCATATTTTTTCAGCACTGCTGAAGTCTTGATCTTAGTCTCTTGAAAACTTAAATCAATTTTGAGTGTTATTGCATGATTTTCAACTCCTTGAAAAGAAGAAGGAAAAGAAATATCTAAGGGTGGTTTAAAACTTTTGCACAGTACTGTAATTTATATATGGGAAAATTCAACACTTTTATTAAGAGTTCATCCATTCATTTAGCCATCATCTGCTTTTTGCAGAGTCAGATCATGGGGGCAGCAGCTTAAGCAGGGAGGCCCAGACATCTTTTTCCTCAGCCACCTCTTCCAGCTCCTCTGGGACAACTCCAAGGTGTTCCCAGGCCAGCTGAGAGACAGTCTCTCCAGCATGTCTTGGATGTTTCCTGGGGTCTTCTCCTAGTTGGACATGCCCTTTAAACTTCTTTAGGAAGACATAATGGTATGGTATCTTTACCAGTTGCTTAAACCACCTCAACCGCCACCTCTTGATAGGAAGCTTTACTTTGTAGAGCTTGTTTGCCAACGAGGCCCAATAGGACTCCTTCAGCTTGGCGGCCTCCCTCACTTGGGGTGTCCACCATCGTGTTTGAGAACTGTGAGAGGCACCGACAACCTTGCAGCCACAACTCAAGGAGAACATACCCTCGCTGGGATGGGGTTGTTCTCTTTGAGGTGTGAACTGAAGATCGTTCTGATAACAACAAAGTCCATGCTCAATAATCCAGGTATACAATCCAACATTTTTCAGTCAGGTCATATGGACAGTTTCTTTTTTTTTTTTTTTTTTTTTTGATGACAAGCAGAATTGGTTTGTTCCACTTTGGAGTAAGCTGTTGGGTGAAGAATCAGTTTTGTTGTGTGTTTCCTTGACTGATGAAGCCTTCCGGACCGAAGGCGAAACGTTTCAGCACAAAAAAAAAAAAGAAACTGTCCAGATGACCTGACTGAAAAATGTTGGATCGTTCTGATAAGTTATTCTGCCAGGTGTTCCCAGCAAACCCTCACTACATGTTTGGGTCTACCTGGTCTGTCTGACGTCTTTCCCCACCATTTGATCTAACTCATCACCAGGTGATCAGCTCAGCTCCTCTCTTTACCTGAGTGTACAAATCAGATGACACAATTACAAAGTCTATCATCAATCTGCGAAATAAGGTGAATAGTGTTTGTGAATGAAAAAATGTGACTAGCACAGAAGAGACGGCTTTTCTCTTTTTACATAAATTGCTTCCTTCACCCCCCTCTCAAACCATCTGTGTTCTCGGTCCAAAATGTGCACATTTTGGTCCTCAGAAGAGTGTCCCTTATCTGTGAGGTGGAGGTGAACTGCTGAGTCTTGTCCTGAGGAGCTGGATCTCCTGTGTTGAGCCATGCGTCTGTGAAGAGGCTGTTTAGTTTCTCCAATGTAGAGGTCTGGACAGTCCTCGCTGCACTGGACCGCATACTCCACACCACTCTGGTTGTGTATGGGTGCTTTGTCTTTAGGGTGGACCAGCCTCTGTCTGAGAGTCCTGCTGGGTTTGAAATGTACTGGGATGTTGTGTTTGTTGAAAATTCTTCTGAATTTCTCTGATACTCCAGCAACATAAGAGATGACAATGTTTTTACGTCTGCTGTTCTCCTTTTTCTGTTTATTGGTGTGTTTTGTAGATTTCCTCACTGACTTGACAAAAGCCCAGTTAGGATATCCACATGTTTGGAGAGCTTCTTGGATGTGTTTCTGTTCCTTTTCCTTCCCTTCTGTCTTTGTGGGGATGCGTTCGGCCCAATGCTGTAAAGTTCTGATGACAGAGAGTTTGTGTTCCAGTGGATGGTGGGAGTCAAACAGAAGATACTGGTCTGTGTGGGATGGTTTTCTGTAAACTTCAATGTTGAGGCTGTCCTCTCATTCCATCTGAATCGAACAGTCTAAAAAAGGCAGCTTGTTGTCGTTTGCATCCTCTCAGGTGAACTTGATGTTGTTATCGACCGAGTTAATGTGTCTGGTGAACGCTTCTATTTCCTTGGCTTGGATTTTGACCCAGGTGTCATCCACATAGCAGAACCAATGGCTTGGCGTTGTTCCCTCATAGGAGTTTAGGTCTCTCTGTTCCACTTCCTCCATGTAGAGATTGGCAACAATAGGTGATACTGGAGCTCCCATGGCACAGCCGTGCTTCTGTCTGTAAAAACAAACTGTCATTGATCTTAAAATAAGTGGTGGAGAGGCAGAGATCCAACAGGGTGCAGATCTGGTCCAGGGTGAAGTTGGTCCTGTTGATTAAGTCATTGTCTTGTAGAAGTTGTTTTCTGACGGTTTCTACTGAGATGGGTATGCATGTGAAAAGAGAAGTCACATCATACGATACAAGGGATACAACTCCAAGAAGGCTAGGCACTCCAGTCTACTTTTGGCGTGTAGACACAAGCAATCGTCAGAGCCCATCCCCCAACCCGAAGGCACAGGGAAGCTACCCTCTCATCTACCGAAGACAACTCCAACTTGCAAGTGCCAAGCCAGGGGAGCTAGACCCACACCAGCTCAACACCTCTCACCATGGGCCATTCCAGAGCGGAATAAGGTCCAGCCCCTCTCAAGAAGATAGGTTCCAGAGCCATGATGTGCATCAAGATATCTAGTCAGTCTCTCATAACCTCATACACAAGCTCAGGCTCCTTCCCCACCAGAGAGCCATGTCGCAAGAGCCAGCTTTGGTAAGCCAGGGTCAGAGCACCATGGTCCCGGACCCTGCCTTCAGCTACCACCCATGGTATCATGCACTGGACCGGTATGGACCCTTCTGCAGGTGGTGGGCCCACAAGAAGGCAACGTTACGCAACTCCATCAGGCTGAGCCCAACCAGTCCCCGTGTCATCAAGCTCTTGCCGATGAGCCCCTCTCTCAGCCTGGCTCTACGGTGGGGCCCCAGTAAACCACGTCTAAGTGAGAGACACTGAGCTTCTTGATCATTTCTGTCCATATGAGTCTCTCTTTGTCTGGCCTGTCACCAAGGACCAATCTGCCTTGGGAGACCCTATCAGGGACAATTGCCCCTGACAGCATAGCTCCTAGGATAATTCAGGTGCAAAAACTCCTCCGCTGCAATAAGGTGGTGATTATAGGAGGTTGGTGTTAAAGGTATGCATTATATATATCATAGTATGCTCAATATTCAGAACATACCACTTTTTATGCTTTTTTTGTTTGTTTGTTTTCTTTTGGCCAATAGTTTTCATGAACTGTTTACCCAAATAATAATCCTTTAAAAATAGATTAATCAGACTGGATTACCAACGCTCTGTGGTGAGTTGCTCTTTAGCTTAATGTTTGTTCTGATGGCTTTTAGAGTTGATTGAGCCCACTGTGGTCACTATGAACTACAATCTGAGCAGCATTATATTTGTCTATCGCTGTATTATATTTCTTTCACGTTGCATCCGTTAGGTAATTAAGCTCATCAAGAAATAACTACAAAAGTGTGACTCAAAGCACTGAACTGTTAATGTCAAAATAATGATGTGTTGTAATTAAGATATTTGAAGGTATTGTCATTTTTACAGAAACATCAGTACATCTTTTGATGATTGCCTCTGTGTGTGTTTCAGCATAAAGTAAAAGTAGCTGACATCCAATTACAATAATGTTTTGGGGAAAACATTTGACCACCAAGTTTGAATGTTTTCAAGCGTCAGAGCTGTCACCCTCTCAGTATATGTGAACAGGGCCTTTTTCTACCAGATTAGCTTTGTATTTATTTTATATAGATTTACTTAATGCATTTGATGAGGATATGCCCTGAGTTGTTGAGAGAAAAGATATTTCTTATGAGTAACACTAAGATGTTATGACTTAGTGTGAACCAAAAAAACAAGTCTCTCTTGTAAATGAGTCGTTGTGGCTCCATGAGTCTAACCTGTAGAAATAAAGGTTGAATGAATGATTTTATGTATATCTCATTTAAAAACCAGAAGTTATAAAAAATAATAAAATTCATGGATAAAATCTTCTCAGTGGTTCTCAAACTGGGGTCCCTGGACCCCCGGGGGTCTGCTAGCCAGTGCTTGCCCCCCCCCCCCCCCCCCACACACACACAAATATATATATATTTTTTTTTACAAGCACGTAATGTTTAACCCATTAAAATACACCATAAATGCAGGAAATCACATCTACTTTATTCAGAATTTTTTGGGGGAGAACCCCCCCCCCCCCCCCCAAGCTGGCCCACCCACTATTTGCATTCTGGCATTGATCAGTTTACAAATTAATCTTAATTTGTAAAACAACTACATACTTTGTATGCCTACTGCTTTTATGATTCTGTTCAGTTTTATGTAAATATATTTTTCTGTAATAATTTGAAGAAGTGGCAACACATTTATTACTGTATGTTCACTAAGTGAATAGGTAAAGTTTTAAAGTGGTTTTGGATGCTGTTCATTTTCTCTAAACTATCATTTTTGGAAGTTGAAATTAAAAATTTGGTTAATTAAGTGTGTCTTGAATGAAAAATGCCCCATGTTTAAAAGTATAAAAATTGTATTAACACTATTAAAGAACAGGTCTTAAGTATTTATGTTACACAAATATTTCCAATGCATTAAAGAGACAAATTAAAGAAAATTATTCAATAAACATGAGGGTTATGAGGGGGTCCCTGAAACTTTTTCTCCCCTATAGGGGGGTCCCTGAACCCCAAATGTTTGAGAACCCCTGCTCCAGAGGGCACATATCAATGATGTGTGAAGCAATGTCATGCACCTTTAATAAAACACACAAAAAAGAAGTTATATTAGAAATAGAGCATTATTTTGAGATGACGAGAACATTTAAAACACAAAATATGAAAAAAAAAAACATTCTTCTACCTATCAATAATCAGAACAGTAAGTTTTATTTATTGGTTCCAGCTGCACTGTATGCTATATGATCACCTTATACAAGAAACAAATACAAATACTCACACTAAAAACCAAACAATCTGCTAGCAGCCACTTCTTTCTAAAGTTACGGAGCTGCCGGGGAACGGACGTGGCCGCTGCTCGAGCCCCCAGCTGGCTCCTATTAGAGCAGGGAAACAAAGAAGAATCTGTGGTGGGGGGTAGGGCAGGCTTGGTCACGTAAGACTAATGTGAACATTTATCCATACAAATATAACAGGAGTGGAAAAACATCAAAAAATGTACAGCTGATATATAAAAAAATACCACCATGGAGAAAGACAAGAAAAGCAGTAATACCGATATTTTTTCCTTTTCGTCTTTTCAGTTTAATATTATTTTTTTTCCTGAGTAAAAAACTTGCCGTTTATGATTTTTCTAAACACACTTATTCCTCAAAAATATGTTGCTGCTGTGTAAATTAGATCCTTATAAGCTGACAGTAAATCCTTTGTTAATAACCAAATATTATACCTTGGCTCAGCAAGGCTGCAGTAACTGTTGCTTGTGTCTCAAAACTGTTTTATCTGTTTGGATTAAATTGATCATTTCTATCTCAAAAGTTCAAATCTTCTTGCACATATCCTGCCCCACATCTCATCTTTACATTCTGGAGCAATGCACAGACAAAGGGCAGAAAAACGAGTTCTTTGTGACGCTGCATTTGCCACTAGTCAGACTTTCTATTCTGCTAAACGTAACGGTAGATTCATTCATTTTTACACACTAAAGGACAGGGGGGAAAAAAATCAAACATCCATTTGTAACAACACAGAACAAGAGAATGAACAAGAATAATAAAAAAAAAAAAAAAAAAAAAAAGCCAAATTACACAACAGGATAAAGAAAAGGGTGAAGCTGAAGGGAAAAGAAGAGGTTGTCCTTTAAACCAGCAGGAAGTGGGTCCAGGTTTTCCATCCTACACTTGGCAACATGTTCCAGAAGTCCAGAGGAATTTCTCTAATATATATATGAGAAGATAAAGATATAAACAAAAACATCACTTAGTTTAGTAAATGACAAAAACTAATATAACTGGAGGAGACGTTTCGGCTCTTTTTGCGCTTGAGTTTGATGGTCAGTCCCATCAGGCGTGTCCCATCGTCAGCTGTCCTCACTCAGGCTTTGTGGTTTCATACAAAAACAAAAGCGTGTCAAATATTGCCCGGCCGGCAGTTTGCTGGTAGGTCCAGATGGCTGAAGTCAAGCTTATGGTTGGATGGGTTGACTCGGTTGGTTCCTTAGTTTACACTGATTTCATGTCCCGGCTGCAGCAGCAGTCCTTTACGGCTCAGTCATGTGCTCCCTCATGGGGTCGCCGTGTTTGGACGGTTGGTTTGGAGAGATGGCCTGTGACGGATGGGTGCCCAGGGGTAGGGTGTGGGCGATGGGCACTCCCCCAGGCACCAACCCCTCCATAGGTCCAGCAAGCCCACCAGGGGCGATCCCCATCACACCAGGAGGGAATCTGGAGATGGACAGGGAGTGATCAACACATCGTTTTGTCAAAGATGAATGAAGGAACTGATCCGAAAATACACTGAACTGAACAGACAGTTTGATCTGAAAGTTTAGAATTAAACTGAAAAATAGCTATGCGTAATAAAAAAAACAAGCAAAACGTTAAAGATTTGTGTACGCTAATGACATATGGTGTTAATTGTGTCTAAAAACAGCAACAAATACAGATGTGTCTAAAAACAGCAACAAATACAGATGTTAGGGGTTCTAAACAGGGTTCGGCTGGGATTAGAGAGGTCATTCACCCAAACTATAAAAACAAGTTTGCTCGGGCTTTGGAATCCACATTTTGATTACGTCGTTAAACTATAAATCAGTAACAGCTTCTCCCAAATGATTTTTTTTTTTCATATGAGCATTAAAAACAGTCAAAGTTTGGGTGAACAAAGCACAAGAAGGAAAGGTGTTCCAGGACACTCAAACATGTCAGGTGGTTTGTTTATATTTACTTCATTATGCCATCATACTGTCAAAATTTGAAATTCAAAACTTAAGACAAGTGTGATGTGATTATTATAACTAATTTGAGCAAAATAGTATTAAAGTGATAAAAACAAACACATTTGTTCAGCAACTTTCCCATCATTACTTAGGGTTGGCCTTAAGAAAACAACAACAACAACAAAAAATCCTACAACTTGTAAACAAGTGAAGTAATAACATAAATTATCCTTGAAAATAAAAATAATGCCAATTTTAAAGTTGACTTTGAACCTAACCGTTTTTATACTAATGTAAAACAGTTTAAAAGTAAAAAAAAACAAAACAGAGACTTTTTAAATATATTTTTGTTGTGATCAATTTTTTTCTCCTAACATGTTTTGTTTACCTGCATAAAAGGTGCAACATGAACACCGTAGTTTCGTTACTTGTAATTTTTACAAATATTTCCAAATTTGAATTTTTCCACACTCATCATGTCTGTTCCCATCTTTACTCCTCGCAGTTACAAAACTTCCCGTTGTCACATAACTTACTATGTTTTTAATGTCCAGTGTGTGATGTATTACTGCAAATGTGTGACAACATAAAAAAAAAAAAAAGTCAAACATTAGACTGAGCCCACGTGCTGTGTATCAGATTCTGTCAGGGAGGGGAAAGAGGAAGCTAAAGGAATGATGGGTAATAGAGGCTGCGCTGAATAGGAACTACAAAACTCAGCTGGGTTTGCTTTCATCATGATCTTTTTGTTTTGTTTTCATTTCCACCAGCAGTGGTAGAATTCATTTACCTGCTTGAGAATTAGGTATATAATTTGTCCTGCATCCCCCCCGTTGCTATGGCCTGTACCATGGTTTGGTTCACTCGGCTGTGTGAGAAAAGCAGTTCAGTCTGGTTGAAACAATATATCGTCTGAGAAATGAAGAGGCTAAACTTTAACATGGGATAAATTCATTTGGGCCAGTTTATCCAACAAAAGAGCAAGGTTTAAAGTTCAAGCACACATGAAAATACTCAAATCCACCCCTCCTTAAGTGATAAGCCTCACTAGCGTGTGTTGAGACGACACACGCTCCCGCTGCACGATGCTGAGTCGAAATAAATCTACCTGTACGCTGCACCGTTGATTTCAGGGTGAACTTGAGGCTGCTGCTCCATCATTCCCCAGGGGGCTGTAGTTACAAAGAACTCTTTATTGACGCAGTTTCGCAGGCTGTCAGGGATACGACCTGTTCCGGGGAAACAACTTCTGTGAGCGAAGAAATGAAAAAACAAACGTATGACAGCGAGAAAGCTCAAAGACATATAGGTACCAGTGATGGCTCTGCGAATTTCTGTGGCAGCTGCCTCTCTCATCTCCAGCGACGCCTGCTCGCTGTACCAAGCGGTGTGGGGGGTGCAGATCAAGTTAGGGGCGTCTTTAAGGGGACCCTGGGAAAAACTGTTCAGCATTGAAAAAAAAAGTGGTTAAGCAACATAATAAGCTAAAGCAGGTATTTTTCATTTTGTCGATACATGACGATGAAGGCACCTGAAAGGCTCCGACTCGTGGACGTCCATGGCAGCGCCTCGTATTCTACCTTCTTTCAAGGCCTGAGCCAAGGCTTTTTCATCCACCAGACCCCCCCGTGCAGTGTTAACCAGAAAAGCGCCTTGACGCATCTAATCTCAACACAAGAACAGAAATATACTTTAAATGGCTCCGTGTTGCAAAAGGCAACAAAAACGTTTCAGTCTTAAAGCACTTGATAAAGGAAACTCAAATGACTCCTGCCCCTTCATTTCTACACATTTATATTAGAAGAACATATAGTTTAACTTGGGCAAAGATAAACTGTGGTTACTTAAACTTTCACCTATTAAAAAACAACTAGTAAAACAAAGTCTTCAAAGTATGGTAGTTGTCAAACTTAATTAAAATTTGCAGTACAGTTTTTGTCCTCCAGGTGGCAGCAGTGACCATAAAAAAATTACTAATAGGACCAGTTTCTTGGTTTCAATCAAAAGGTTTTAGGATTCCAGTGCAAAGCTTGTATATTAGCAACTGTTTCTTTATGTTTGGCATGTTTTGCCTGACAGCTGTGACCTATTGTTCCACCTTTGAAACTGACTGCTTTGTTACCATTATATATTAAGCATGGAGCAATACTCAGAACGATAACTCGTTAATAGCTACAAACAAATGCTTTACATTCACTTGTAATTTGATAAGCTCTTGTAAGATTCATATTTGTTCAGCCGGAGAACCTCCACACTTGACTTATTTTTAGTGAAGAGTATGCAGAACAGCTTGCTTTGATCCCACACCCACACACCCTTGGGCAACGTTTGGGTTACTCTGACCTAAAAGGTCTAAAATTACACAAACGTATTATATGCACCCCCGTACGTACTACACACCTGCACCACCTTGCACGTTCATGAAGTTCATTAGAGGTAGTTTAAACTGCTTGTATTCGCAAGTAACAGTGTCTAAATCTGCTGCCGATCATCACCATCCTTCTTACGATGCACTTATAATGCTCCACCTGTTTGATGGTGAAGTCGTTGATGAGGTGGTGGTTGTGCTCGTTCAGGTTGCAGTGCAGGGAGACACAGTCGCTCTGGTAGAGCAGATCCTGAAGCGTGTAGACCCTCAGAACCCCGAGCGAACGCTCCAAGCCGTCCTGGAGGTAGGGGTCGTAGAAGATCACGTTGAAGCCAAACGCCTTGGCCCGCATGGCAACCGCCTGACCTGTGCGTCCTAAGGCGGAAAGAAAAGAGAAAAGTTACTGCCTCTGTTCACGCATTACTAAAAACTCTCCAGATATTTGGAAAACCGTTCTGTGAGCTTGAATAATGTTGCTCTCCTGCTTATTTTGGACCCACTAAATTAACTATGAAGTAAATCTAACAGGTAAGGCACCGGTTATTTTGATTTTGTTGAAGTTTAGCATCATTTCGCAATAATTCACCAGAAGTATGTCTATGAACAGCCATGCAGAAACCCTCCAGTTGATGATTAATTAAGCCGATCTACTTCAAGAATTAAAATCGTGGCTCAGTCAAGTGCCATTTGTCAAATGCTGTGATCAATCACTAAAACGATTCATTTTTAGCTTTGCCAGTGTGGTAGTCTATTGTACTAATTTTATTAAACAGCAGAAGACAAATTAATCCACAGGCATTAAACATTTTTAGGTAAAAAGGTGTAAAAAGAAAACTGGTTTAAGCTACCCTTGGATTGACTATTAAACGTTTAACAGACATTAGGCTCAGACTCAGTTAATAACTTATTACTATTTGTTAAAATATGTTGCAGTTTATCTTGTTGCACAGCTTTCAAAGAAAATGTGCAAATTAAGCATCAACACGTGTGGCTCAGTTTGGAATAGTGTGCAACGACTTTTAGCAGCAGTGCATCGTACAGCGTGGACAAAGGTCCCATGAAAAAACCCATTGACAATCAATGGGGTTTGGGCAAAATGAATGAGAAAACCCCACCCTCTTTGAATGCTGTGGTTCTGGTATTCTTCACAGTAGAAACAACATTCAAAGCTTACACAAGTCACAAAACGATAGAGGTTAACATGACTGAAACTGCACTTTGATATCTCGTTTGCTTTTTACACAATCACAATTAAATATTTTAGGATTTTTGTAGACTTTCCTATAGAATTTTCCTCCGACAGCTGATGATGTCATATTCAATTTTGAAAAGTCTAATCATTTTCTAACAAACACTTTACTCCCACAACTTATTTTGATACATTCTTGTCTTGGGTGCCACCAAGGTGCTCCACAGAACGTCACAGGAAGTCCTTCCTCCCTGTGGCTATCAAACTTTTTAACTCCTCCCCTTTTCTACACATAGCACAATAAAATGAATCCTGCACCACAATAAACATTTTATTGTTTCTGTCTGCACCTGACCTGTTTTAGACCTTAATTATTGCTATTTTATATGCTGTTATTATTATCTTATCTTATCTTAACATCTCTTTTTTTTCTCCCAGTTTTTTGCACAGCCAAGCTTCCAGAGACTTCAGTTATATAAGGGTCTTTTTACCGTTTCAAATCTCCAAAGTATAACACTTCCGAAAAGTAAAAACTTCACATGCATGGTCATCAATGTCTTTTGACGCTCACGGTTCACTATAGGCCTGTCACGATAACAAATTTTGCTGGGCAATTAATTGCCTCAGAAATTATTGCGATAAATGATAATATTGTTAGAAATGTGACCATTATTAGTAATTATTGTCAAATTTAAGAAGAAATGTTGGTTAATTGTGTGTAGTACCTTTTTTGGACCATCGAATGGCAGTATAAGACTGTTTGAACAGAAGGATGGATACTGAGGGAGCGAGCAGCTTGTCTCTTTAAGAAAAATGTGAGGGAGGTCCCTTGACGTGACATGGGCTGTCTCTCTTCGGTTCTCAAAATGGCGGATGCTCGGTGTGGTTCGAGCTCTTTAGTATAGCATTTTTCACACAAAGCTTTTAATAAAAAAAAAAAAATCAGTAAACAAGTTCTCAGCTTCTTTTGGCAAAGAAAAACTTTTTACACGAAGGCACGGGTTTCAATCGTGAATTTTGGAGCTTTGACGTGACGGAGGTTTTTTCCCGAGGTCGGCCTGTTAGCTTAGCTCGTAGCTTAGCTTCTCAGCTTAGCTACTTTTAACCGTCCAAAAACGTGATTTTGGACGGTTAAAATGGATTTTAAAGAGAAAGGGAGAGGTCAGTGAAGAGCACCGGAGTTGAGCCGTTTGTCATCCAGTGTCTTCAGTAAAAAGAGAGAGACACTAAGAAACGATAAAGCCGATAAATGAAAATGAGGCAGATCATTTTCATTAATCTTGCGATTAACTGATTTGTTGTTTATTGCGACAGACCTAGTCCAATACTTTATAAGACCCAGTCTATAGTTTTTGCACAGTGACTATTTATTTGAGGCCTAAATTTCAGTCTGTTTCCATCTGTCTCTCCTCAGTTTGCAGCCAGGGAGTGAGAGACACAGGTGTGGTTACCATGGTGACCATAATGAGCCACAGACAGTAGCTTCAACATGATGTTTTTCTCCATACACTTCTTATACAATTACAAACACATATAATTACATTATTAGTGTTTAGCGTATATCTTAGATCCTTATTTACTGTTTCTTTGTATACTTTATATTTTGCTATTTTTGGGTGTAACTGGGATCCTGTGTACACAACTTGTTCCACCTCATGTACCACATGTGATGCATCGACAATAAAGATACCTGCACTTGTAACATCGAAATGTAGGCTTTTTAAAGTTTAGATTATTACAACGTTATGTTGACATTTTGAGCAGCAGCTGTCTTCAACATTTCTTCAGAGATTTCCGAGTTCAAACTGGTCACAGGTAAATTTTAACCCCGACCGTGAAAATCGCCAGTTTCAGACTGGTCTTAACGAGCTTCTCACCAAACCCAATGAGGCCAAGCGTCTCTCCTCGGATCCTGGCTGCCCCGGACGCCACCTCCCGGATCTGCTCTACGCTCTGGACCCGTGTGCCCTCCCGGAGAGCCTGGTACAGCCAGGTGTTTCGCCGGTACAAGTTAAGAACGTGACAAAGTGTCGAGTCTGCCGTTTCCTCCACCGCTGCTGAGGGAATATTGCACACCGCGATGCCTGGAAAGAGAAAACAGCATATCAAAAAAAAAAAAAACCCAAAAAACACGAGCTGAAATAACAACTTGTAATATGCAGCTGTTTTCTCAACATGTTTAGAATAAAACCCCACCGATCTGTTAAAAAAACATCAGGATTTCCATACAAAATCCATCTCAGCGCGATGAAACGTAATGGCGACGGTAATTAGGATGTCACACTAAATCCCGCTCTCATACCAAACATATGCTGTGGGAACACGAGGAAGACTTCTGTACGAGCTGGAGCATCTGCTCCGAATGTGCGATCCGTTCCCACAACCTCTCATGTTTACAGTTAATCAATCATTTCCACTACATATGTTGTTTGTGATGAGTTAATAACGCCAGCAGAGTTTGGTTTGGCCTCACTGCACAGGTGCCCCATTTTTATCCATAATGCATCACCTCTGTTTTATTATTTAACTCTTCTCATCCTGGTGAACAGGGCTGAAACGAACCGTCTTATTCATTATGCGTGGCATACGATCGCCGCCTGCTTCTGAACAACCTCGGCCTCCGATCCACCTCTCTCGTGTGCAACCTCACCGAGCTCTCCGGCGGCCTTGATGTCGATGTTGTCGTAGCCGCTGCCGATGCGAATGATGATGCGCAGCGCCTTGAACTTCTCCAGGTCCTCTCTGGTCAGGGTGATGGTGTGGTACATCATGG